TCGAAGAAAGAAGATACCTCAGTTGAAGTAGCACACCAAGCCCCAAGTCATTTCTTCCTTTTACTGAATAGAAATAATTGTCCACATTAGGGCCCTTCCTGGTGGCGCAGCCAGTTAAAGTACAACACTAAGAAGCTTAAGCCACTTCAGCATGAGCTCGATCCCTGCCCTGAAGGTGACCCACATGGCACAGCAGACCTCTCCTGACCCACCCGCTGTTCCCTTCAGCAGTGTACTTCATAGATCTGCCTGTTCTGTTCCCCACTCTGTCTCTGGTGAGTTCTCTCACCACCCCTGCACCTTTAGCCTGTACCCCCATTCTATATAAATAAATAAATAAATAAATAAATCTTTTTTAAAAAAAAAGTCTACATTAAATTAGAGCAAGAAAAATTCAAAAGAAAAATCTTTAAAACAGGAAAGAAAAATATACCCAAGTGAAATGATTGCTGGATCAATGGAAGATGTCTCATCAGAGACACAGGTGATGTAATTTGTTGCTTAATTCAAGATTAATAATTAAAATCCAGTAACATGTCTATATAAAAACAAATCCAATTACAAAACATACTTTTGTAATATTTAGTCACATAGTAACAAAAATTAAGTCATATACCACTTCTGTTTAATTCAAAAATAACTATAAACAAAATAACAAAACCATTGATATGCCAACTATATGATCATTTCAAAAAGACAACTGACATGAATTTCATACGTAAAGATATAAATTCCCCTACAAAGTAATTTGTAAATCCAGGAGAATTCCCTTTGCCATTTTTCATCAACATATAAAGTTAATTATCAAATTCATATGAAAAGATAAACAAGAGGGGTACACATGTACTACAATATGATCGCCAAGAAAATCTGTTTTCATCCACTACCATACAATTGACCCTGTTTATCTAATTTACCCACTCCCTCATACCCCATCCTCTATGATTGCCACCATTATGCTGTCAGAATCTAAAGAGTTCATTTTTGTTTTATTTGTTTGCTTTGTTTCTTTATTTCTACTTATGAGTGCAATCATACCACATTTGTCTTTCTCCATCTGACTTACTTCACTTAGCATAATTCTCTCAATTTTCATACATCTTGTTAAAATGGCAAGATTTCACTTTTTTATAGCTGAATAATATTCCATTGTGCATTTTATATATATGTGTGTGTGTGTGTGTGTGTGTGTGTGTGTGTGTGTGTGTGTGTATGTATATAATGCCACCTGTTGAAACTTGGGAAAGTTCTTGAACCCATCTAGATCTGTGTTACTATAGATAGTAATAGTTACTATTTCATGTGACTACTGTTAGGAAAAAATAAGATATGCCTGGCAGGATATGCCTACTAATTACTAGTTATGTCTATTATATAATAAGAACGATTTACAAGAAAATAACTTAGAATTTTAAATGATTTAACTAGCACTTACAAATATTATTTTGCCTCGTATGTTTATAATGCCCGTTTATACAATATTTTAATTATATTAAACATTTTAAAATTATTGTTTCAATTTTTAAAGAATATATCATTATAAAAATATATGTAATTTTAGCCAATGCAACCCCATCTATTTTTTTTTTAAATTTATTTATTTATTCATACAGAACTGGGGTACAGGCCAGAGATGCGGAGGGTGAGAGGATTCACCAGGGACAGAGTGGGGAGCAGAACAGGCAGATCGACGAAGTACACTGCTGAGGGGAGCAGCGGGTGGGTCAGGAGAGGTCTGCCACGCCAGGTGGATCTCCTCCAGGGCAGGCGGGAATCAAACTCACGCGGAAGTGGCTTAAGCTTCTTAGTGCAGTACTTTAACCCGCTGCGCCCCCAGGGTGGGTCCGCCACCCCATATATTTTTAAAATACTATTTCTGAAGAAAATATGAGGTCCAACGCAACTTTCTTTCCCATGTAGTCAATAACATTCCAGAATGTTGTATTTAGTCATCTAGTATCTTGAAAGTAAGATGGTATACCACTCCAGTTTACTATATATTTCAAGACCATGTAAAATAATTAAAAGTTCTTTTTATATTTATAAGTTTTTTTCCAGTCATAGGGGTCAGTGTTTGAGTCTTATCTGAGCAGAGAATAATATGAAGAAGAATTGTTGTGAAAACCATTAACCAATGTCAGTACATAATTAAAAAGCCAAAACTTGGAGTGGATGATAAATAAATATTAAAATCATTATTCAATATATGACACTGGTTTTACCAAATGTAGTTAGTGGCAAACCAAAGTTAGGTAAATAACTGAAATGTAGCAGCAAGGGGACATTGTATATAATGCCACTATGAACTTGTGAAAGTTCACTAGCATTTGAAATTAACTAAGAACTTTACTATTCAAAAAAACATTATGACACATCATTCAGTTATTTTTAATTACTATTTTTTATTACAAAGACAGAAGCACTTTCCAAAGATCATTCTACTTGCTTTATTTCCCCATTTCATTTTGGGTCATATCTGGGAAACACGTACAAAGCTCTATTTAAGGGAGATGGTGTTAACGATAGATCAATAATAGAAGTTTAAGCTTCTGGTACTTTCTGACTCTGACATAGAAGATACTTCCTTGAGCAAATCTGTTATATAGTTTTAATATTACTTTTTATTAGCTAGTAATATCTGTACATAGTGGTGTTAGGTAAAATGTCCTTTCTCTGACTTTACAGTAGCCATCTCTGTGTGTATATAAATCACATTGCGTAGCATATGTACGAGAATATTAAGCCTTCAATGATTACTCTTGAAAGGAGTCAATAAAAGTAAGTATATCTCAACTCTTATTATAATTTATTCCATTATGATATATATATATATATATATATATACACCTCATATCCATGCAACCCCCTAGATTACAAAGTGTTCTGCCACTTCTATGGATCTCACAAGAATTCTATGGGATAGGTATAGCTTTTGCCTTCGTATTATAGTTTCCAAGTCAGTAAAAACATATATGGAAATGTAAAGCATATCATTGTATCCTCAGAATAATGTAGGCTTTGTGACTTTCTTTGTCCTATTCCTCCATGGATCTAATTAAAAACAAACAGAATTAAATAAAAGGAAAGATATACCAGGTTTATAATAACAGATGACTTTGGAATTTTCATATATCTATTCAACAAACTTGATTATTAAATACAATTAAATATCAATAAAACTCATATTTTTTTGATGGGAAAATCTTGTGGTTGTAGAAATCAAAACAGTTGTTGCAAGTAGGAGACAGGTAGGAAGTGACTGGAAGCAGATATGAGGACCTCTCTGAGAAGTCAGAAATGTCCTATCTTTTTTTGGTTACATGGGCATGTGCATTTGTTAAAATACACATTGAACTATCCTTTTTAAACTCCATATTGAAGCACTGGGTTGGAATTGCTCTGTAGTATTGTTTTTCCTCTGTGGCTAGCACAACCATTTGATCAGATACTTCCATCTAGTAAATCAACCTTTCTGTCAAAATACACAAATTAAAAAAAATACACTCTTCATTCATAAAGCATCCTATAAATGAAGGAAAAGGATTTCCCAAGTGAAATCAAACATCAAAACCCTCTCTCAAAATACTAATCCATTTACATATTAGTTTTTAATTTTCATTTAAATTCATGTACACATCAGTTAGGCGAGTTAGATCTTTTCATTAGGCTCTTTTTTTTTCTTTTTTTTTAAAGATTTATTTATTTGTGCATACAGAACTGGGGTACAGGCCAGAGGCTCAGGGGCGGGGAGAGGCTTCACCAGAGACAGAGTGGGGAGCAGAACAGGCAGATCGAGGAAGTACACTGCTGAGGGGAGCAGCGGGCGGGTCAGGAGAGGTCTGCCACACCATGTGGTCACCTCCGGGGCAGGCGGGAATCGAACTCATGCGGAAGCGGCTTTAGATTCTCAGTGCTGTGCTTTAACCCGCTGCGCCACCAGGGAGGGCCCTCATTAGGCTCTTTTATTAACATTTTTTTATTGTAATACATGTTTCTATCATCTACTTAGATCTCTTCTTTTGTGAACTGCATTTTCATATTATTTGCTAATATTACTACTGAGCTTTCAGGTTATTTTGTTTATAGTAGGGCTCTATTTCTTTACATATAGAATGTTAATTGCTTAAATGTATTCTAAATATTTTTCACTTTGTTTGCATGTCTCTTCCTTACTATAGCTTTTCCACTATGGCATACATTTTATCGATCATATTTATAAAATATACTTGGTGTCAATCATTTCCTATTTTCTGACTTGTAACATCATTGTCTATCCTTTAGTTATTTAGCTTATTACTATTTAATTTCCAAAGGAGTACTAATAGATGGGAATAGGAAAGAACATGTAATAAAAGAAGACAGAGATGGGGAAAGAGAAGTTATCTATTTGCTCCTAATTGATCTTTAATTTACTATATTTAGTTAAAAGTTGTGGTTTTAGGATACTGACGCTTTAATATTTGGGGACTTGGTTTGTGACATAGTATGTGGGTTTTTTTTTTAATACTTCATACATTCTTGAAAAAAAGTAAGTAGACAATCCTACACTTAAAGCATATTTCTAAAACAAATGAGTGTCCTGTTATCTTCAGTACTGAAGAGTAGACTTTTCTCTCATCCACCAACTTACTATATTAAAATTTTAATGGAAAATTACTGATATTAATACTCAATAGAATTAAATTTTTATCTAGATAAAAATAATCTAATAGGTGATAATATTAAAATTACTTACTAAATGAGAGTAGCTAGCTTCAAAATAAAATCAATAAAATTTATTTTTGGTTTTATTAATAAAATTATAAGAACCTGAAACATCACTAGTATAAAAAATGTACCTTAATTGGTAAGCTGATATACTTAGAACTTAAAAACTCCATTCAGCTATTCACTATTTAGATTCTGTGAATCACATATACTAGGGGAAAGTTACTTCTTACTATTACACATATTTGCTTTTTTTCTCACAGGAAAGTATCAAAAGGCATATCCTTACTTACCAATTTGCTTTCTGTACTGATCAACAGGAAGTTTTATAGTGGAGGCATCTTTTCTACCCATCTTTGATCTCCAAAATGCCTGCTGCAGAGAAAAAAAAATAATTACAAAGTCCTAAAAATCAAAAGGACTACTACAAACTTCAGGAATAATTTATTCCATAAAATTCATTTTTAAAGCAATGGGCAAAAGTGCCTTTGACTTACTCCAGTTAGATATCAGTAAAGAACACAAAATTCTTTCAAATAAATTATCAAGGATACAATTGCTGGTAATTAAATTTTCCAATTATTTGTTCTTGGTAACATTCATTTTATCAAATATTATCAATGCTCAATTAAACCACACTGTTAGAGAGCATTGTGCTATTTATACAGATGGGTTGGGGCTGTAGGCTTGCTTTAGGCAGCATATTTTTTTTCAATTACCTACTATGTCACACAAAAAGTAAGGTTAAAGTTTGGAATTTTAGGTAGCTTGAATTCTGTCTTAAAAAGCATGATATATGCAACATAAGTACATGTCCTATTATTTTAAGTTAAGTACAGTAACAAAGACTACAACCTAGCAAAACCCATATTGTTCGTTACTTCCTAACAGAATAAGCTACATTCCCAAGCCTGAAGTCAAGCATGTTGTCAAATTCTTGCCAACAGAAGATAGCTCGAAGTGCTGCCATTTCCAGAACCAAACATAAGAAACTTCCATGTAGACCCCTGCATTCTCTCTCTGCTTCCAATTGGCTCTTGCTGCTTGTTTTCCATTTCAGTACTTTATTGAAAAATAAATTCTATTGTGATTGATTCATTACACCATAGTGGTGGTGGTGGAGGGGGGCGCAGGGGTCTACTTATTATACATAGTCCAGAGCAGTGGCTGAAATTTGTTCCTTACCAGTCCTAATAAGGAGCTATAAAATGAAAGATGAGGTCAGGCATAACAGCTACTTCACAAGAAAACACAGAGCCCAGTAATTTGGGGACACAGAAAGTTGGAAAGCCTACTTCTGAAAACAATGCAGACAATACAAATGAAAAAGACTTAAAAGCAATGGTGATGGGGGCAAAAAGTCCCATTAAAATTTCTTAGTTAGAAAGAGAGAGAGAGAGAGAAAGTACAGTCAAGTATGCAACTTTTTCAACCTAAACCTATTGTTTTGGAGACAACTGTTACTAGGTACAAACAGAGAAGCGTAGGAGTTCTAAAGTATAGAAAGAAACACAGTGCTTTGAGAACTGCCTAGGAAAAAACTACAGTCTGATGGCTAGCACATGAATCTAAATAGAAATGGCAAGAAGGTTACTAAAATCTGAGGAACTGTATTGACCAGGAAACCAGAAACTTCTTCTGAAAAAGTTTAAATGAAAATCAAGTATAGGCCTCTAAACAAATCAGCAGAGTAGCCCCCAAGGAAGACAAACTTCAGATTTGTGATATCCATTTCATATGTGACCAGGAAGGAGAACTATCCAGATGGCAAAACCATGGAGAACAATGGGCAAGGGAATTTCTTTAAAGATCGTAACGAGGATTTAAGCAAGAAACCTCTCCTCTCAGTACAATGGGCCTTCTTCGTGGCTTCCTGTGCAACAGGTTTCATCATCACAATGAACCAATGTCTCCTGTGTGTTTCCAAGTCTTCTTCCCATCTCCCCTTTTTAAGTTGAGATGATTATTGCAGACATGCTGCAGACATCTTTTCATGACCACTACTTACTAGGGGCTTAATGAGATGGAAAGAGCAGGTAAAGTGCACAGTCTATAAACTTCAAGGAGTTACATTTCAACTTGAGAGGAAGGACTGTGGATTGATTTGAGATATCTGACATTGTACTGACTGTTACAGCAAAGAAGAGGAACTATTGTACTCAGTCCTCTGACATGCAGTGACTTGGACTATAAATCCCAGTGTGCCATCCACATGCCATCCTGAACACCAGAGCTACTGGGCACTAGAGGTGGAACTAACTATATAGCATAAAAGGCAGGTAGGGTCTTGGGCTCTTGGGCTCTTGCTTCTCCAGCTATGACTTGCACCCAGGGACTTGGAGGGGCTTGGAAGGAGACACAAGGAATATAGACATGTAAAGATACCTGAAAGAGATATATAGGAGAGAGAGATATGGAAAGACTGTCATTGACAGAGACAATGGCAGCTATTACCTTGGTCTGTATTTTTGCATCTCTCTGTCTCAGACTTGCCTTGCCACTTTTGCTCCTTTCTTATGGTTCCCCAATAAAATGTGCCTTGGACTTGTGGGAGGCTTATGGGCCTCACTTTAAGCCCATTCTATTTCACAAAGCACTTCCCAAGGAGGGTAGGGTAATTTGGGGAGTTATATTGTGAAACTATTATTAGGAACGACCTTTGCTTTCTTCTCTTGCCAGGCACATTAATTCTATTAAAGACCCGAATTCACATTAAGTGTCTGCCTCTTTGCCTTTGTGTGGCAAATAGCTGAACCCCTTTTAGAACACGCACCCCTTAATAGTTTGGGATATCCCTGTCTAGATGTCTCTTGATCATGTTTTAGCAGTACTGAATGCAATAAGTGGGGGAATTTTACCACTCCCCTAAATAGGGAACAGGAAAAAGAATATACATATAATTCCTGACCAGAAAAGCAGACTATGGAAAACTATTAGCCTCTATTCATTAAAATACATGTCCTCTTTTTCTTCCTAGGTATATTTAACATTTTCAGCTTCCTTTGATACTAGTTGTGAGAATGTAACTAAATTTTAATCAGTACTATTAAATAATATTTGCTACTCCTAGAATTAACTTATAAAAACTTTTAATATGTGGTCACTGGCTGAAAAAGAAATAACTTCCAGGAGGATAGTGGAAATATTATGATAAGATGGCATAGCCTATTACAGCCTGACCCCTGAATCACTGTATGTAACAGAACTACTCAATTGTTACTAAACTTGTTTCTAATTTGTTTTCTCTTTCATGCTACGGGAGAATAACAAATAAATTTGTGTACCATTTGAGCCTTTACATATTTTTAAATCTATTTGTAATATTCAATAGTACCACCCAAATTAAAACAAATATGTATAGCTGCCTCTATATAAATCATTATAATCATCAAACTGTAATTTTCCTAGTGAGCATCGAGGACCTCAAATGACATATGTATTTGAAATTCATTCAGTTCAAACTGCACTGTTTATCTGTATATATGGCCACACAAATAAGGCAATATTAACAATGATCTCATTCAATAATATAAAAGGCATCCCCAAGTTAATAATTTCTAATTATATCTATGAAAATTGTAAGTTTGGCTAAAAATCTATTCTTCTACTTACAATAATCTTCAGATGTAATATTAAAATATTAACTGGTGAATACAACAATAAAACATCAAATAAACGAATTCTTTATCCCTCATAAACAGTCATTATAGTTAACATATCCTTAATATTTCAGAGTGAGAGCAAGGCATCAATTTCCATTGTACACTTGTTTGCTAAATCACAGTATTAAAAATAACTGTTGGAGGCCCTCCCTGGTGGTGCAGCAGGTTAAAGCACAGCACTAAGAAGATAAAGCCACTTCCGCATGAGTTCCATCCCTGCCCCAGAGGAGACCCACATGGCACAGCAGACCTCTCCTGACCTGCCTGCTGCTCCCCTCAGCAGTGTATTTCGTCAGTCTACCTGTTTTGCTCCCCACTCTCTCTCTAGTGAAGCCTCTCACTGCCCCTGCACCTCTGGCCTGTACCCCAGTTCTGTATGCATAAATAAATAAATCTTAAAAAAAATTAACTGTTAGTACAAGCATCACAAAAATGACAATAAATCTGATTTACTCATGTACTAATTCATTTGTATAGTGCTTTACATTTAATTTTAAAGTATAGTCAAGTTATTTTAATCTTGATTGTATGATTCTAGAAAAGACATCACTCATTTTCAGTTTAGTTTAAATGAATAAGCACTAATACATGTGTTAGTTTTAAATCTATTTAGAATTTCCATCAAAATGGCCACTCACTCTGCTTCCTCCAATTCCTTTTTGGTCATTTAAACTAATAGCCCAACAGAGACAATAAGTAAGGGATTGGTAGAGAATATCTTTTCATCAAAGTCAATGGAATTTTATTTATTTTAAAAATGCACTTTAAATAAAATTAAACTAAAGTACCTAGGGATCTAAATTTTTATAAGGGTCTCTATGCTATGACAATGTGACTATAAAAAGGTTAAAAATTTTTGAACCAAAAAGATATATTAAGGAACTGATTTTAAATTGCTATCCTAATTATCTTATGATTTGTGATGCTTAATATGAATTTTAAGTTTACTCTAGTCTTTGAAAATATTATAATCTATCCTTATAAAGCAAAGTAACATTTATCAAATGTTGAAACAAAAGATGTTACAGAACTTACACATATACAAATGACTCATATTTTATTATTTAAAACAAGCAAAGGAAGGTAGAAAATAATTTACTTTCCTAATAAAGAAACTGAGAGTTTTTATAATAATCTAAAGAGACTCATTCATCCGTATGGTGCAAACTGTCAATGCCTCAGACATCTAGAACCTCTAAAATGTTCTGACTTTCCTTTGTTCTTCAAAGCCTTGCAGTAATCATCATTCATTTCTGTTGCTTTGATGGTTAGATAGCAAACTCCTAAGAAATCCAGGGAGACATTAGCACATACAGCCTCAATTTCTAATAAGTTAGCTATTTGCATACAAGATCAGCCACAATTTAAAATGTGTTGTGATAGATGCGGAAAGGGAATAACAGATTTATATTAGCATGTACAATACCAAGATTGTTTTCACAATTTAATTCCTTAGAGATTACATCTCATCACCTTCTTTTATAAAGAACACTGCATTCCCTGAGGAACTAACTTGCTCTGAGACCCAGCAAACCTAAAATATGGATTAATAAGATAATATTTATTATTTATGAATTTTGCTGTAGGAATGATTTTAGATTAAATCATCAGAGAAGTTTTTAACATTCTTGAAACTTAATACATATTTAAGGAAGAAAAAATGCTAATTTTATTTAAGGCCTAAATTGCATATCGAAATAATTCATAATTTTTTTATTAAATTAAATTTTTATACTCTTTAGGACTTTTAAGATTAAAGATAGTGGTTTTACTGTTGGTATTCTTTCTTAACCTGAATTTTACAGAACAATTTTGCTACATGTATTTTTTAGACAAAAAAAAAAGTGACCTTTAAAAACAAACAAAGGTAGTGTTATATAAACGCAATCATATCCCATCCAACTTATTTTATTGCTCACTTATACCTTTTTTATGAAATCCAGAATGAACAAGTAAAGAAATACGAAACGTGAAGCCTTCACATATGTCTCTGCTTCCAGAAAAAGCATTCAATCCAGACTGTGACATTTAAATACAGATCAAAACATAGGTTATTAAAAAAATTCAACCCATGACCACAGAAAAAAATAATCATCTCAGTTTTTAAGGCTAAAAAGAAAAGCCCTTACTTAAGTATGAAGTTATAAATAGGCTGAAAAAAAAACTGTTTCATTGAGACGGGGTCAGAATTGACAAACATGAAAATACAATCTCCTGCTATATGTTGGGAATGAATAAAATGGTGAATAAAAAAAGATAACATGTCCTTGATCTTAAGGGACATTCATTGTTTCCAAAGCAAATTTTTTAAATTTCAAAGTTGTTCATGTAAATTATATATATGTCACCCAAATGAGTGACCTAGATAAAACAAAATCCTTAATATGAAGAACAATTAATGATTCAATTTTGTCATTTGTTTCCTAGTCATCGTTCCATTGTATTATCAAATTTAGCTTTTAATTTCATGAAACTGATGACCTCATTCACATTTTCATAAATTTACTCACATCACATTGTGAGTATTGCAATTAAATGTCTCCTCCATTCTCCCCCACTGGTGATGTTCCCAGAGTTTGGAATTCCTAGATGTTTCTACATTTGGGGGCTTGTTGGAACTTTACTAAACCCACAAAAGAATTCAAAACTATATCTAGCAAAGCAAAAAAAAAAAACAAAAAACTATTTAGAGGCAGTGCACCTGAGAAGAGATCTGGGCAAGCAGATTCCATGGAAGAACTGAAAGAGAAATATGGGATACTCGGGGCTTAAATGGGGTAAAGGAGGATGTTCACTTCATCTGTTTCTGGAGTATACTATGTAAGTGCTCCTGGCATGTTGGTTTATCAATCCATACAGCAGTTACTAAGGTACTCCCCCTTCTTCTTTGCTCCTGGAGTACAGTTGTATCAGGCCCCAGGAGCAGGTTAGGGCAGGAGTCTGCTTCCCCACCTACCTGCTCTGAGTTGCTGTTTCTTGCTCTCCTGGGTCTTTATCAGTTGCCTGTAGGTTAGAGTACAAAAAGAATACTAAAAACTTGAATATGTGAGAAAAATGACTTCTAAAACCCTAATCACTTGCCAAATTAATCCAAATATTCATAAGAATAATAACTAAAGGATTGTTGTGCTATTCTAAAATTTCAGGTTCTAGAAAAAGGAATATGTGTTGCTAAGCCACTCTTCAAACAAACTATAGAATAAAACAAGTATGGTAACAACAAAATACTACTACAGGGAAAAACTTTGGCCCCCACTAAGGACATACATTTGTTGCAGTAATATTTGCTGTGATACAAAATCAATCTCTCTCCTGGATAAGCATGTCATCACAAAAACCTCTGTATAAAGATAGAAGCTTTTATTATAATACCCAAAAACTGGAAAAAGTTTTGCTCAATATTGATCAATAGAAGAACTGATAAACTGGCATATTCACACAGGTAAGATTAACAAGCCTTCAAAATATTAACAGTATGCAACAATGCAGATAAATCTCAAAATTACTATACTTAGTCAAAGAAGTAGTAGCTCCATGTATTTAAGTCAAATGGCATTCATTAGTTTTATGTATAATGTATAAATGTAACATCATTTGACAAAAATGGTCCTGGCTCTTTCCCTGGCACATGTATTGAAACACTTCTTAAGGGCTCAGGAAAGAATAAGATATGAGAAAGTACAATAACAAAGTATATAAAAATCTACAACAAAATGAGAAAATAAGTCAAGCAAGTGAAGTTGAGCAAGGATTTTATCCTTTGCTTTGTTTCACATTTGAAGGTTTATTTTTGAGTAGAGAAAATAATTCTAAGTCTGTCTAAATAGTAATTGGAAAGAATAGTAGAGTGAGGGGGTGAAGCTACAGGAAAGACAGTAAAAAATGATTGAGGTTTTTAAGTAGATAGGAAGAGACAGAACTCAGTGCATACTTGAAGGAATAATCACAGACTACTTCTTTTTCTTAAGCAATAAAGAGGAAAATGGATGTGTATAAATACACATTTGAGGTTTGATAGCCCAAAGTAGAGGGAGTACTATTTAGGAGCTCTAATTTCATTATGTAATAAGAAGCAAAGTTATCTCCTAAGAGTGAAATGGTTGATGGAAAGTTCAGAGATTTGAGTCTAGTGACTAGAATTGATGTAAAGAGAAGAAACACCTAGGGAAAACAAGACCAGTGAGTGAAACTAAGTGATTAAATGAATTTTGTAACCATAAATCTAACATAGCACTGAAGTACATGAGTGCTGAGCTTCTTAGTGTTGGCACAGGAAAGGAAAGAACAACTAGATTAGCAAAGTTTAGGTTTTCCAGACAGGCATAATAGGCAATAGGACAAAAACAAAACAAAACAAAACAAAACAAACAAACAACAAAACATGGACTAGCATAAAAAGCAGGTGGAATGATGACAAAGGAAGTGAAAGATGGGCTTTGGACTTAAAGATTTGGATCATTCAAATAACCAAAGTGCTGAAAGTAAAAGAACTAGAGGAGTATTTACTAGGGAAAAACTATAGGTTATTAATAATAATTGTGAAGTGATTGTATTTTTGAGATGAATTGGATTATGATCGAGGGTAACTAACACCACATGAAAACATTATGCAGATAAATTAAGAAAATGAGAGACCAGGAAAATTTAGAGAGCATACATATGAATAGCAAAGGCACCCAGAACAGTGGCAGGATTTAGAATAGGGAAAAAAGAAAGACTAAGTTGGGGAGCCTAGGGAGTGATCTGGAAACAGGTAACAGGGAAAAAGAAAGAGCACACCATAGTCAAAAAGGAGCTTCAGGTATTGTCTTTTTTGTTCTCAAATGCATGGAAAAGTAAATAATCAGGAAGTTGCAATAGGAAATAAAAACATAACCACCAGCTTCCTGTTCTAGAAATATATGAATATATGTGAAACTTAAAGAAAGAACAGTGTCTACCTAAGAAGACTTCAGAGATATGGTGCTCATACAAAGAATCAGATTTGAATTAATGTCAGTAAGTGAAAGGAATGATCATTTAAATGCTTCAGGATGGATGGGCTTCAAGAATATAAAGAAAACACAGGAAGGGAAGCGAACAACAGGAGACTAGTTCAAGAAAAAGAATAAACAAACCACAGCACACTATGTCCATTAAGTGTTTAGAGGAGGGCAAAAGTCCAAATGGGTCATCTTGGAAAGAGAATAAAGATAGCAGGAATGTAACATACGCAAAGCTCATGTGACAACTGCATTAAGTACTCAGGCCACTCGGAGTCAGCTGTGGCCTAGGTCATATGAGGAGATCCCAGTCCCTCTGGAAATGCTCAGATGGTGGGAACTAAGCTTCTCAGACGAAGACTTGGTCTCAAGAGCACTGGCAGGCACACTGATTCACCAGCAGTGACTAGAGGCTCTAGGTCAGCATTTGTCACATTGTTGTCCATCCATCACCAAAATCAGTTGTGTGAGATGCTCATTAAGATGAATATTCCTGAGTCCTATCAACCAGAATCTCAACGGTTAAGATTTTTTTTTTGGTCTTTTTACTTCCCAGATGACTGCTATGATCAGTCATATTGTAGAACTTCTACTTTTATTTTTAATCATCCCATAGTTAATTCTTCATTGTTAGCACTTGGGAGACACTGCTAGACATATATATATGTGCAGGGACTGTGAGATTCTTCACTCTCAATGGAGCTCTGGATGGCACAGTATGACAACTGTGGCAATTTTTAATGACGATGGGTATTTCCTGGATCAACAGGATCATAATATATTGGGCAATGAAGTGTCCAAATCAGTCAGTTTTTAATAAGAGTTGAAAGACTGGGAGATTTGAAGATAATTAACATGCTAAAAAAGAAGAAAAAAAAAACTAGCTATATTCCAAAGACAATCCACTAAGGGAACAATACAGAGAAGAGAAGGAAATGACATTTGGTATTTAACTTTTAGAATTTGGGAGCCGGGATGGTGGGGGGGGGCATGAAGAAGAGGAAAAGCTGGATAATTGTGTTTTCACATGTGAGTGATAGTTAAAATGCAGAGTTCCAAGTTTCATTCTGCAGAGATTATCATTTAGCAAGGTCAGGGGAGAGGCCAGGGAAGCTGCATTTTAAATAAACATCACTCTCTGCCAGGATTTTCAAACTCAGGTGGTTCATGGACCATACTTGGCAAAATACTGAGTAGACAGATGGTGATGTCATTAACAGAAGTAGATAATATGGAAAAGAATAGGTATGGGGGAAATGGTGAAGGCAAGGAGGTATTATCAATCTATATTATAAATGTATTATACCTACTATAAGAAAATAATGTAATTGCTATTCCTAAAACTTTAAAGTATTTGATTTGAAAATAATTATATCACAAATTCCCTGGTCGTCACCAAAAAATACCCACAAATATTTTACTTACTTTTATTTTAATGTCTTTTTAATGCACAGATTGTTGTGGCATCTGGACACATGACATACTTGAAAACAACACATTAAATTTATACTGCCCAGAATAGACAAAAAGCTGCCTTGCATGTACCATCAACAACGTTACTCACTGGAGGCGGAGAGTGCTGCATTAGCTGGGATCCATGAAATTTTTTTTGTTTTAATTGTTAACTTTGTACTAATATCAAAGGGGTATTCTGGTAGGACCAGTATTTCTATTGACCATTTCCTAAGTAGAAAAATTATCATTATGCTCCACCAGGGCTTAAATTAAAACAAACAAACATACAATTAATTTCTTGTATTTGCAAAAGGAGACAGATTGGCTAAACTAGAGCTGACCTATGACATAAGTTGTAATGGTCAACGAAAATATTTAATGACATAAATTATATTATCTTTTTAATAAAAGTTAGTTTTATGCAAAATCTACTTTCAAACAGTTTCTAAAGGGTATACTACTTTATTTTGGTACCAACTAAATGAAACTGAAAACTCTATTTTTACAATTACACTGTAAAAACACAAGAAGAAACACATTTTCTACCAAGGTAAAAGAGCAGGGCCATCTAAATTCATAAATCAGTAAGGCATGTGGCTTATCAAGGCAAATGAGAAACACCAAAGGTAAGTTTGACTTATGGGATTTTGAGGTAGAGAACAAAATATCCATTTTGTCCTGACCGTGTGCCAACTAACAAGCAGACTTTTTCCTAATAAGAGAGAGTAACCAATAGGGTCATAGACCTGAAGGTAATAAACTCCTGTGAATGACAAAACTAGTTGAGCTAGCTATGTACAGTGTATTTTGAATTGTTTTTGCATGTTTTATAGCTGGAATAAAAGGGTAGCTCATGTGACCCAAATAGTCCTGGTTAATGCTTTTTTACATAATCAAAGATTTGGGATTTTTTCCTTCTTAAGTATTTTATATCAAAGTAAACATAAACTAAGTTCCTAAAACCTAGTAGTTTTAGTACGAGATGTTAAATTCTGGAAATCTACTGAAGTTTTTTATAAGTCTCGACATCATGGTGATATGACTTGAATCTGTCATATTACCATTATTGTCCAACTTTACAAAGTTTTCACATTATCATTTATGAAGCCTGTTTTATGTAAAGACTGGTGAAATATAGGCCTACATTATTAGAAAACTGACTTAGAAGGACTATAAAGGAAAGGAATAAGCAACGAGTAAATGAATAAAATATACCAAGAATTGGCTGAAAGACAGGCACCTCAGATATGAAAGGAGATTCTGTCAACAGGAATCGAAAGTAGTGTGGTCATACATTTTATCATCCACATAGGGGCATTCGAAAATAAAAACAGACCTAATGTCATCAGGACAAAAAGTATTAACCAGGACTATTCGGGCCACATGAGCTACCCTCTTATTCCAACTATGAAACATGCAAAGACAATTCACAAAACACTGTATGTAGCTAGCTCAACTAGCTTTGTCATTCACAGGTGTTTGCACTACAAGGAAAAACAGCAAGTCTTCTTGCTTTTTAGGAAAGCAAGATAAATGAAATATCTCTGTAAAATGAGGCACTAATGA